GTGTGAGCAGGTTCCTATCGATAATTCAAGTGCCCAGCTCCTGGCTGTGCTGTTTTGTCCGATTTCCATTGCCTCCTGACCTCCATCCTTCTTTATTTGCAAAGCTATACTCACAGGCAGCGGTAATAAATCAATTAATGACTCTGATGAATCGTTTAATGGCTGACAAAATAACACTACAGTCAACAGCTTGGATCTCTACAGCAGTACCAGAAGACGCTGGTTGACTCAGGGTAGGGAGACGAAACAGAGACTGTTAGCTCAATTAGTGCAATTAGTGTGCGATTTAAAGGCTTAGACGGCATCTGCTGGAGTACTGAGCCGGTGTGTTAACTGAGAGCTTCAGTTTGGAAGCGAAACACGGTGATCCAGATTGTCATCATTCCACTGGCTTCCACCAAAAAAGAGGAAAAATACCGATGTATGTGGCAGAACAAATAAATATGTATATGTGGGGGGGTGTATAGCTATACACGTGTGCCCCAGGAACGCATATATATTTATTTCCCACGTGGAGAAAATTTGCCATCTAATAAAAGGTAAATGAACTGATATGGCAGCAGTGCCAGAGCTGTCCTGGCTCGTTTCTGGTAGTGGTTTCCATGTATTTTGGTGGAAGGAAATTTGAGGCATCGTATGCCAGCAGGGACCTTTGTGTGGCTGGATGTGCCTTTGGTTCAGTGCCAGCTTGGATGTGGTGGCACAACAGATCCATGCTCGTCTCCCACTGGCTTGGGTAGTACCTTACCCGTACCTGTGCTTGGGGAGCTTGGGAGGTTTTAGATATTCACATGTTGAAAGGGGCTTGGCAAGCAAACTCCAGAGCGGCTAAAAAGCCTTTCTGAGCCAAAATGGTGAAAATAAGCCAGGTGGGGAGAACTGGAAGGGAAAAAAAGTCCTGGAAATGGGTGCTGGAAAGCCCTTGGGTTTAAGTGCTGACCCTTAGGTTTTGAGTGCTCACCCTTAGGTTTGAGTCCTCACCCTTAAGGTTTGGAAAAGTTGTTGTTACTGTCTTTTTCTCTTTTTTTTTTTCTTTCATTTCTGGCACACCTCAAGGGTTTTACAGAGCTGTTCCAGCCGCAGCTACACTCCCATTGCTTCAGCAGGGCTAAAGGTACCTCGGTGTTTACCTTAGCGGCGGCGATCGGGAGGGGAATAAAAAGAGAAATAAAATGTCACTTCGCAGCCTTGTAAATCATTCATCAAGGGCTGACCAATTTGGCTCCCATCCTACAATATGCTCAGGGCACTTGCGGGTTTTTAATTACCGAGTTCTGCCAAGCGCCACATGTGTGAGGAACTTTAAATCCCCGTTTACGCCGCGAAGGCATAGGTGAGGTTTCAGGGTGTTTAACACGGAAAAATACTCTGTGGTTTTGTGGAAAAATGGGCATTTTCTTCAAGGTTTTCTTTGGCTCCTTTGCCCGCCTCCCTCTGCTCCATGTTGCAGACGGGAGGAGGAGGGCAGCGTCCTTTTCCCTTGGATCCCCGATTCATGTCCCTCCTCACTCCCCACCACTTTGGGATCCATTTCGCTTTGGGAGATTCCCCCAGCAAAGGATTATGGTGTGCTGGAAATCTCTTGAAACCATAAAATATCACCTTGGCAGCTTTATTGCCGCGCTCGCCGCCTTGGGAGAGAAGCGTTTTGCGTGATAGAGGGTTTAATAAAGGAAATTCCAAATGGGCTCACTGCAGTTTGGGGCTTGGTCTTATATATTTTTGCATTAAGAACCGTCATCTGCTTTGCAGAGAAACTGCAATATGTTCATGGCCTTGGATTAAGATTTGGTTTTACTTTTATAGCTGACCCACTTGGGGGGATGCAGGGAGGGGGAGAAGTGGGTTCACTCCCTCTCCCATCTATTTTTGCTGCCGTCTGATGTATAAAAAGAGCCTGGAACGGGCAGGCTTATTTTTCCTGCCAGGACTTTTTTTTATTAACTGTAAAAACACTCAGATCTGGCCTTTGCTGCTGATGGGGGGAAGGCTGCTTGGGATGCCTTGTTCAGGGGCACAAGGGGAATGTGATGTGGGCTGTGCCTGGAGATGCAGGGCGCTGGACGCGGTTATTTCGTGAAGGGGAGCTCTTGCTGGGGAATCGTCTCTGCTGTCATCTCTTGACACTTGCAGCTCCGAAATGCTGGGATGGGAACAGCAGCCACTCATCCAGCATGGTCCTGGCCTTCATTCCTCATCCCGTGCTTCAGCTCCTGCTGGAGAGCATGATGGAAAGGGCACAAGGGATGCCCTGGGAAGGCACAAGGCAGTGGTTAGTCTGGTGCTCTCCTGCCTCTGCAAGGCTTTCTGGTCCAGAATAGTGAGATTCCCAACCAAACATGTGGATCTTACCTTGGCAATCCTTAGTCCTTAAAAATAATCCTTAATTTTCTGGGCTGCCCGAGTCCTGACAGCCTGGCTTCCCCCCTCTGCTCACATCTTGTGGTTGTCATTACATTGGCTGCGGTCGGGAGCCGGGGATGGCTCGGCTGCTGTTGGGATGTGGGGTTTGTTGGGTAAAACCAAGCCTGAGCAGGCTCACATGTATGCCATCTGTTCATGGGATTTCCTCAGTGGAAGATTTTTCCACCATGGTTTTAGGTGGGTACATCCATCGTGAAAATTCATTGAGGGAGTAGTTCAGCAATCCAAACCCAATTAACGTCACTGAGGCGCCTTTGTAACCGCCCTGGGAATGGGGATTCAGTTGGTGATGGGCAAACTGGAGTGCACTTCGATGACATAGGTACTGTTCCTAACCCTGCAGGGATGTGTTGGCAGCAGTGGTTTTTAGGGTAATACCTTTTTCTTACAGTTTCCTTTGGGGTAGGAGCCTCCCATCACACTGGTGCTTTCCCAGAGCCACAAGGAAGTAAAAACAAATAGGAATGCTGAGCAGGAGCGTGCAGGGTGTCCAGGTACCCTGTGTCTGCTCCTGTTCCTCCTTTTTGGGTCTGGAGCCACTCTGGTGGCATCCTGAGGTGACACGAGGGGGAATGTGACCCCACAGGTTGAGTGCAGTGAATTTGGAATAAAGGCTTGGTGTGGTGGGGAGGTCAGGGAGGCATCATTTTCAGAAGATAGGACTGAGCCAGTGGGCATATGGGGTATGTGGGGTAAGAGAAGCATTCAGAAAGCCTTAAAACAGCTTCTGCCTGAAGTGACATGTTGGATGAGGCTCCTTGGTGGATTAACAAGACTCAACGCCTGGGTAAATGAATAAACAAAGCCCAGAATGATCCCCAGGTTTTGTGTGGCCATTTTCTCCAGGGGTGAGTCACAGAGGCTGGTGCCCCTCCAGCTCTGAGCATCCTTGGCTGGTCCCTCCACGAGGGGAAGCTGCTCAGGGCATGTGTAGCAACGCTCAGTGCTCCGGAGGTACCGGGCGGATTGACTCAGTGCCATGTGGCAGAAGAAGTGACTTTATTAATAACGTGGTTTTGCCATAACTCTGACCGTATTTGTCCTGGTCTTGTTCCCCACAGAGCGCAGCTGCCGCCCCAAGTCCCGTGCTTGGAAACATTCCCCCAAACGACGGGATGCCCGGGGGCCCCATCCCGCCCGGTTTCTTCCAGGTAGGCTCCCGCTCCTCCCGGTGCTCCTCCACACCGCGCACGTGTTTGCTTACGCTCTGGGTGTCAGCGCTGTCGTGCCTGTGTTTTTTTTTCCAAGGGGATGCTAGGGAAGCAGCATGCCTGCATAGCTGACCTGTCTAGGAATAACTTGTGTTCTGCTGTCCTTCCACGTTTGCTTTCTATCTATGTGGCCTTAAAGCAAATTTCTTTCTTACTGGAAGAGGTTACTGTATATTTACAACCAATGTTTTTTTCCAAAGCTGCTTGGTTTGTGTTTGGGTTGGGACTGTATTTGTTCTCCAGTCCTAACAGACGTAGGTAATTGAAAACATTCTGGATTTTGATTCCTGAAACTTTTTCCCCCTCCTCTGGTTAACCACTTGATTTTTTCCAAATGCAATCACTGAAAGCATTAACAAACCCTGGCTGTGGCTGCAGGCAGGGGTGAGCTCCAGCCAAGTCCCCGAATGCCGTGGGGGCACCTTGTAAGCAAATACCCAGCAAAGTCCCCTCACTCCTTCCTTATCCCACACCGAGTTCTGATGGAGGAGGGGGTAGTGGACATTTGGAGTGATGCTGATGGAAAGGATATCAAAAAGCACACAGAAAAGGAGTTTTCAAAACTTGAACCTTGGGGGTTTTCTCTGGAATCTCTTTGCATGGCGTGAGCTGCACTGGTTTGCAGCGACAGAAGCTTTCAGTGCTTTCAAATCTTCCTGGTTGAGGAAGAAACACTTGTTCGCGTAAAAAATGGGATAAGATTTGAAAGGAATATTTGTTTTGGCAAGCTGGGTTTTTTTTAATCTGGGCTTGTGATTTGTATATGGGAGAACTTCTCGGGCAGTAGACAGGCAGGCTCGATAAGGAGCTTGTGATTTATTGTGGCGATATCTCAGCCCGATATCACCGATTGCCTTTGTGTGGGAAGGGCGAAGGAGGGTCCTGTCTTTTTTTTGAGGGAGAGAGAGATCCCATTTCCTGAACATGCTTCTGACAAAGTAAGAATATCCGATATTGATCGGGAACCCTAAAACAGGCGAATCTTGTAGCAGCGCTCGGCAGCACGGGGTGAAGCCAACGGCGGAGATGCTATCTCGCAGGTCATAGCTGCTGCCAGCAATCCCAGTGCCAAGCTGCTGCTTCCAACAAATGTGTCTCCAAATGTCCTGATCTCGCCCCGTGGTGAAGCTGACTGTCCTTTGGGGCTCCTGCTTCACACAGAGCTGTGAGGGCTGCAGAACTGGCAGAGAGTTAGGGCAAGGCTTCAAGAGTATGGCTTGCTTTCCCAGAGTGGGAAAGGTGAGGAAGAGGAGTCACAACTCTCCAGACATACTGTTCATTCTCCCGTCTCAACTCTTCCTGTTGACAGCCTCCAAGCTGTCCCCTCGCTTTCCTTTTTGCCCTCCCGTAACACTTTTGCACAGAGGGTCTGATTCAGAAGCAAACAACCCATCCTAGCTCCCTGCCTCCTATGCAGTTGGCTGGGGAAGGAGGGCTCAAAGCAGGGGAGGATCCTGAAAACCCAGAAAATGTAATAGCACTGGTACAGGTGTCATGTGGGGGAAGCTGCCCATCCCCAGCACTGCCGGAGGGAAGAGGAGGACTGGTGCCGGTACATATGGCTCACATGTGACATCTCAAGAGCCTGCCTTTCCTGAAAGCCCTCCAACATCTGGTTTCTCCTCCCAGCCTTGGGGATAGAAGGGAGAAGAAAAATCCCACCTTTTAACACAGTCTGAACATCACCTCCATGAAAGCCTGTCTGATTTATGGCGGGTGCTG